TTTGTCTGAACATTGGCTTTTTTTTAATAAATATTTACAAGGAACACAACGATATGCAATTTATAGGGATTTGGGGGGAGGAGGCTGCACGGTAGGGGGGTCTGACCCACCGTGTAATGTCTAATATTTTTCGATTGTAGTATCACCGAAAAAAGAAATGGTTGGTTACATATGTTGACAAAGGGAGTTATTTATTTCTCATTGTATTTATAATAATATTTCATTAAGGAAGTTTTAGTCAGATATTTATGTTAGATGGTTTTCCTAACAACCTTCATTTATAAACAATTTGATTTAATTTAGTTATGATATTTTATCTTCAGGCATAGCGCAATGATCATCTTTAATATAATTTTGTCGATGCCTAGAAAAATAATTCTTTGAAACGGCCTTAGCATTAAATAATTTAAATCGATATACAATACTATATTTAATTCAATTTTTTTTTTCATGTCCTCTTAGAAGCGATGGAAGATAAAATATTAGGAGCACCTTGGGGCAACCTGAGGCGGGGACAAGGAAGCCTGTGCTCAATGCACTAGTAGCAATGATAACCACTCATTGAATTTAAAACGCCTTAGGATATGTTCACTGATAGAATATACTGGGTGACCCGTAAGGAGGGGGAAGGTTTTATATAAGCGATAGCTGACGGTCAAGAGCTACAAAAAAATTCATATAAACAATAGTATTTGTTGTCCAAAACCACGACTTATTTAAAAAAACACAAAACTTGGATTTCCTACTTTCCTGCTAAAATTTGATTGTATGTACTTTTTTGTATCCCATAAGTTCTGGTATCACTCCTATAAAAAAACTCCCTCTACTTACGGTAAACCCTGTATAAATATATATAACGGAGATTATGGCTGTCATTTCATTTCTTAAGCTGGTCTTGAGCGTTTTATTAGAAAAAATATCCAGTAAAAATGTTTGTATACCTACCCATATATATATATATATATATATATATATATATATATATATATATATATATATATATATATATATATATAATCAGTATTATATTTTATATAGAAACTCCTGAGTATCTTCAGAAGATTAAAATAGAGACAGAGAAAATAAAACAGGTGAGAAGAAGGAAACCATATCCTGGAAAGTAGAAAGATAAAGGAAAACAATTGTAGTCCTACAGAGCATTTATACATTATAATTATACATTTAAATTCAAATACTCAAGATGAGAATCCTTACTAAGAAAATATTGAATAAAAAATAAAAAATTATTAATTTTAATAATATTAGTTTACGCGTGAACTACCGTTTAATTTAATACCATGGAATAGTCAGTTTGTTGTAAAATCGTTTATATATACTATATAAACAATTAAAATTAGTGTTTTATAAACCGTAACATGATTATTCATTCCATAATCCATAAATCAATATTTCTTCAGGGTATATTTATTTTATGTTTATTGAAAACAACTATAATAAATGATAAATATGTTATATTAATACATCACTGTCTCTTTATATAAAATAAATTTTCAGGGGGTGAAACATTGTATAAAAGGCACCATTTTTTAAAATAATAATTGCTATTAACTGTTCAAAAAATAACAATTATTCTTAATTATTACTTTTGAATAAATCCTTTATATCTTATTATAATAATTCAAATGAAGAATAAAATCTATGAGATAACACATAGATTCTTATTTTATTGTGTGGTGACGTTTCGGCCTATGTTGAGACTACAATAAACAATTATTATTAATTCCAACGATTAAATAATATAATCATCCAAATTATTTGTTAGATAATACAAATAATGAATAATCTTACTGTTGTATGCGAATAACAACTGAATTCTTTTCATTACGTGTATTTATTAAATATGAAATTTGTATATGAATAAATTAGGTCATTATTCACCAACATTTTATTTCTTAATTATTTTATTTCGACAACGTTTCGACCATCACTATGGCCATTTTCAGGTTGATGTCATTGTTACATTACATTTACATTTACAAAAATTCTATTTTACATAATTATCTAATCTAGCGATCCATGTCATACAATTTCACTATACATAGATTTGTATACTTTTTTAAAAGCCTCTCATGTACGTACTTTACTCATTATATACAATTGATTGTTACTTTAGAGGCTTTTAAAAAGTATACAAATCTATGTATAGTGAAATTGTAAGACATGAATCGTTAGATCAGATAATTATGTAAAATAAAAATTTTGTAAATGTAAATGAAATCTACAAAAAATTTTTTTAAACAAAAACATCAAAATCTTTCCCAACTTGAAAATGGCCCTTGGGATGGTCGAAACGTTGTCGAAATAAAATAATTAATAAATAAAATGTTGGTGAATAATGGCCTAATTTATATAAAAAATAAAACCTCAAGACATCAATTCTAGTAATAATGAATGGAACAGAAATATTTTATGATTTTGTTTCCATATTTTCTCGGCAATATGAACTGCATAATTAAATTAATTAAAAGCGATTTTTTGTTTTAATTCAAATTTAGGTATGAACAGATTCTAGCACGAAATGTTCCGTGTAAGTCAACTGGTCCAAGACTCAGTTTTTGTACTTATTGTTCACAGATTCAAACGGATCGAGGTGAATATCAAATTAAATTTATGGTAATCAATGGTGAACGTCATTGATCTCCATCATGTAAATCTGATGGAGAGCCTATTCGTAATAATTGAACTATTTTCTTCACATTGAAAGGTGTGTTTAGGCCCTGACCTGTTATTGCCTAACGTCACACCGACTAACGACCCAGATGTTATTTAATCCTATTATAACAGTTTGGATTTTAATGACGGTGTCGCATCTTGATTACTTATGACGTCATTTACTGTCAAGCTACCTCTGGAATCTGAGAGCTTTGGAAGCTGAAACACGTAGCGCTGTCATGGCATACTGTCGTGGCAAGCTGTCGTAGAAGATACGAGTCCATCTCAAATAATCGATTAGTGTGCGAAATACTTTTTATGTCACCAGCCACACTTATATGGCGTTAAGTTTATCACATTATGTTCCGATCTAACATGTGATAATACCAACATTTTTTTTTATAATATCAATATAATTTTTAGACAAACGTAAGATGGCGGTTTTCCTTCTCCAGCTGCTTTGACCTTTAGATACTTTTCATTTACATTTGAATTAATGAAATTCCCTATGTGAGAGTAGAGGAGTTGTGTAATGGAGAAAGTAACCAATTGAATTTTTATAAAACTATATCTTATGCAACAAACGCTTCATTCAATTTTGTTTAACGGACTAATGCACCCAAAATCAGGCTGTCTTTATGAAATCCGATTTAATGATCTTAATTATAATATAGTTTTAAATTTGATTTGTATTCTTTTGATATTACTTTATTTATTTACGATGCTGTAAGTGCGGTGTGAATGTACTCCCTGAACTTTGTTATAAGTGACCTTAAATGAGACAGATTGTAATATTTCTCCATAAAAAAAAAATTAATTTATAAACTGTCTTCCTTTCCAATATTACCTATTGTCAATTTTACATAATTGATGCAACTTTCGAGTTTAACCTAGTTTCGGGGTCTTGAAATATTTTCTTATATTTTATATTACCACTATTTCATCTTACTCATTTTCATTTTGCTGTTATTTTTTCCTTTATATTTTTTTTTCATTTTGAGTTACATTTCATGACAACATAACATTATCTGATGATACTTTCTATTGTACGACTTGTCTAAAATGTATAATAAATAATATTGAAAAGAAAGAATCTATTCACAAATTAATCATAAATAGAAAAATAATTAAAATTTATCATAAAAAATATAACTTTGTCTTTCTGCGATGCGTTCTAATCCTTTTCTAATTGCAGTCAGTAAACGCATTGTTGAATAATGTGTATAATAAGAGTAAGGATTTATTTATTTTTGAATACTTGTAAATATTAAAAATTCTCATATTTTGTTTTAATTTCAGTAATAATCGATGACATTTTTTCACCTAAACCTAGCATAATTTTTTTTATTCGGTTTATGATTCTCTCTTCACAGAGATCAATGAACACAGTGTTAGCCCCTAATTCTTCTGCTGAATACATAAAACCAATGGGAAATCCATAAGGAGAGGGCCAAGAACCCCCCCCCTCCCCGAATCGAAAACTAATTTGTTTTTATTGGTCCATATTTGTTTCTGTGAGTGATGAGAGCTGAATACTTAAACAATCAAAGTACTTTCTCGTTTTGAATTGCAATTTATATAGCAATAGAGCTACTAAACGAAAGGTGTCAAGAAAAATATATTAGAAAATCTTTCTTAAAGCATTATTATTCCTGAAATTACCGCTTTTTCTCTTTTTGTTCTGTTTTACCAGGCCTTCGAGGTCGACATCATTCCATATGATATATATTTGCTTTTTCTTTCAAAGTAATTAACATTATAAACAAAAAAAAGCCCCAAAATTAAATCCTGAATCTACTACCGCGTAGAACTTTTGTAAAATGGGACAACTTTGTGCCTTGGGGGGGCATAACGTCACTCCAAAATCAGAATCACTTTTTCGTTTTCAAATTTCTAATTCAATTTTCAATGTCTTTGTGAACCAGCGTATAGCTTCATAAAAAATCTAATCCCAAGTCTGACACACCATTACATTTTTCTTACATCATCAAAAAAATTATTATAGTCAGAATAATTTTACCTGGAATATGTAAAGTTCCCCATTTACGGTATACTACATTTCCAATAAAAATTAATTTTATAAGCGTTCACGTACTCGTGACAGGCACGCAAGTATGACAGTTCAATTTCAATATGTTAGCTCATATTACGCGATATCTTTAGCCACGTAACTACTGGCGACATGACAGATTGCTTTATAATTTCTCATTTATAAACACAGAGATTAGGATTTGGTCGTCCCATCATATATGAAAGTTATAAACATATGTATTTATTTTATGTTCAATTTGTATTTTTTAACATGGAACCTTTATTGCATGTTTCAGATGTACTTGACAACAACATTGCCCCATTCGACGAAGGCGCTGCTTCGGCAGTACTTGGCCTCTACAGCAGGTAAATGATTTATTTTATAATAATTTCTATATGTTCCATTTACATATTACCTCACTTGATTATTCGGAATTTTAAACAAAATTATATTAATAGAATTGTATCAAGTCTTATAAGAGAAGTGATTCCTAGTTGTGTGACACTCGGAATAGTCTAATTCGTAGCTCATGCACCTTTGGAACGGTCGTCCTTAAGTCAGGATGTAAAAGTAATGAATATACAATTTCAAAGTAACCTTTAATTAAGCAAAAAAGTGTCAAAATATAAAAAAATGAGTTGAGTGGAGGACATTATGAAAACTCCCCCACTCAGCCAGCAGCCATGCATAGGTAGTTTGCCATATCATTGATATTATTAACAGACTAAAGGAGAAAGTAAACAGCCCTGGTTAGGAGTCTGGTTTCAAAACAAGCCTCCATTCCACCGTTTTGATTCAATCAGATTCGACTGACGTAAATTAAAATGTATAGCCTTGAACCCAAAAATACTTTTGCTCGATTTCGGAGAGAACAAGTTGTTGATATAGTTAGAGAGAACTGTAGTTAAAATTTGTTCTCTTCTTTTTCATCATCAAACTAACTTGATTCCGGAAACTTCTTTGTTCTAAGCAATGCTCCCTTAGCCTTTGCCCCACCGTCCTCTAAAATCCTCCTTCATGTCATTTCATATCCATTCTTGCAATAACTCCATTTTTCTCTACACTTGATATTGTGATCGCCCAATCATATAAAACATTTTGATCTTACCTCCTGTTGTGGAGTGCCAAGTGAAAGTGTTTTGATTGTTAGTAGCATTGAGGAATATGACATAATTCAGGAGCATAGATCACACTTCGATAAGCTGAAACAAAACTTAGCTGTTTATGCTAATAAAAGAAGGAGAAGGAAAAAAAACGTATTATTTATTTCAAAACATAGTCAAAAGACAAATTATTCCATACAACAATAATATTTATAAATGATTTGGGCTCTCGACCACCTGGGTCATTTTCGCTCTATATTACAATTAGATCAACTATTGCTTAGGCATAAATAACACAACTACATTTAACAAATACAATTTACAGTTTAGGAAGTTAAAAAACAGTTACAGTTGAATGTAGTGATACAATGAAAACGAAGTTATAAAATTTAAAAGTTAAAGATTAAAAGAAGATAAGTTAACAAAGACAATTATAATAAAGGTTAATGATCTCAAGAATAAAAGTTGCAAAATACGATTAAAGAACTAAAATTTAATGTTGAAATAAGAAAACTTAAAAAAGTAGAATTTAAATATTAAAAATTTCTAGAAGAAAAGGTGACAAAACCATCGAAATTAAAAGTTAAAGATTAAAAGAAGAAAAAACTTAACAGGTATATTTACAATTACAAGAATAACTTACAAAATTAATAACTTTGTATTAATAACAGGTATATTTAAAATAACATGAATAACAGTCTAAAGGGTCGATTTAAATCTTTTTTTTTTTTTTTTTTTGTTTATTTAATGAAATTTACAACTGTATACAAATACAACAAGTAAATATGCGCAAATATAAATAATGGCATGTACAGGCTTGAAGAGTTACTACCCAGTGGTAGCACTCTCTAAATAATTTTAAGTAAGAAGATCACGAGGCCATCTCCTTTTCAGACGCCTAGGAGGATTATCAGGAATCGAGAAAGAAGCAAGAGTGGAAACAAGCGGATTTGGATGGGACTGAAGTTTATCATGAAAGGATAGATATCTGGCTCGAGCTAAATCAGCGACATATGGTACATTAAGGTCTTTATGAATGGTTTTATTTGTGACAAAGTATGGAGCATTAAGGATTTTACGGAGGATTTTGGATTGTAAGGATTGGATACGATAGGAATTCGATGGTTTGGTGGAGCCCCAAAGCTCAACTCCGTATGTCCATATAGGTCTTATTATAGTTATGTAGATAAGTCTTTTGTAATTAATAGAAAGTTTGGAGCGTTTGTCTAGTAAGTGTTGGAGCAGTCGGAAACGTCGAGCAGTTTCTTGTCGTTTCAGTCTAGTATGAGGATTCCAAGTAAGACGTTTATCCAAATGGAGTCCTAAGTAGCGGATTTGCTCAACAGGAATAAGTGGAGTATTATTGAAAGTTACTGTAGGACAAGACGTCATAGGTTTACGACGGAGGGTAAAGGTGATTTGATGGAATTTGTTGGAATTTATTTTTATTCTCCAATTTTTACACCATTCTTCAAGGCTTGTGATATGTGAATGAAGAGTTTGGGATGCAATTAAAGGATCGTTATTAACAGATAGCAAACATGTGTCATCGGCGTAAGTGGTGATGACAGTGTCAGAATGGGTTGGGATGTCAGCTGTATAAACTGTGTAGAGGATGGGACCGAGGATACTATCTTGTGGAACGCTTGCAGATTGAGCAAAGAGGGATGAGAAGACATTATTTTGGTTTACTTTGAAGTATCTATCAGTAAGATAGGAGCGGATAATGAGGAAGTATGTTGGGGGTAGGACTTTTCGGAGTTTGTACAGAAGAACCGGGTACCAGACTCGATCAAACGCCTGTTCAACGTCGAGAAAGACTCCCGTGCAGTACATAACGCGCTCCAATGCAGAGGAGACTACATCAACCACACGGTGACATTGTTGGATAGTGGAATGCGATGTGCGGAATCCAAATTGGTGATCAGGGATAATATGATTAGAGTCTAGGATGGGATACAGGCGTTTTAGGATGAGTTTTTCCAGGATTTTGCCCATGATAGGTAACAGAGAAATAGGACGGTAAGAGGATGGGTGTTCGGGTGGTTTTTTTAGGTTTGTGTAACATTTTGACAATAGATATTTTCCAAGAATCAGGGAAATATGTGGATCGGAGCACAGCATTGTATATGTAAGTGAGGAATAGGATGGCTTTCCGAGGAAGAAGTTTTAGGATCTGGGAAGTGATTTAAATCTTAAAAAAGTTAAAATCACAGAAAAAAGAATTAACAATTTAATTAAAAAGAAGGATGATTGGGGTCAAAATAAAAAATAGTAAAAATAAATAATTATATTTATTTTGAATGATCCCCCAACTATTCTTCTCTTCAATTATTCACTACAGTCAACCATCAACCCACAATTATACAATTTAATTTTTTTTTCAAGTTCAATAGTGTTGCAAATAATGTTTAAATTACAATAAGTTTATAAATTAGTTAGTAAAATTATTCAGTGATACAGGTTCATTTTTTTATGAGTTCATAAAGTATAAATTTACTTGCTCTTGATTAAATTTTGTGAAATATTTTGATTTCCTTAAGGAACAATGTTAGGTTTTTAATAGTATTGGGGTCCATTTGGAGTGATTCTTTAAGGCTATTTCTGAAAATATGTTGGTCCCTAAGAGATTAGAATGCATAACATTTAGTTAAGATATGTCTCACTGTGAGAAGTTCTACCCAGGAGATACATTGAGTTGGAGATTGGAGAGATTCTTTCCTCATCAAATACTCATGGGTAAGCCGAGTATGACCGATCCTCAGCCGGATCAGTACCACTTCTTCCCTTCTGGTCACCAGGATATTTGGAGTGACTCTCCGGACGTAGGGCTCCACAACCCTTAGCTTATGGTCTCTTGGGGCTGACCAAGTTTTTTGCCACGCTAGCCATGATTTTCTTTGATTAAAGAGACGATTTCAGAAGGCTTTGAGGTGATGATAGGTTGATCCTCTTTGATAGCTCTCTTATCTGCCATCTCATTGCCTATGATCACGACATGACTTGGTAGCCATTAAAATTTACAATACATCCAGCCATCTCCATTTTTTAAAGATTAGTTAGGGTATCCTCTACTAACAAGTTTTGAGAAAAGGGATCCTGTATCGATCTGAGGGCAGATTTTGAATCTGAACAAATCACAACGCGGCCAGCTAGTTCAGTGTCAATAGATTTATGACGCGGTTAAGAGTGAATAGCTCAGTGGCATAGATTGTACAAATCAGAGGAAGGGGTATCATTGGTTGATTATTTCCCATCATCACAGCAGTGCCTACTCCTTTGCTTTTAGACCCGTCGGTATAAATAAATGTCTATTCCTCATGAACTTTTTTCATGTGGTTAAAATCTGTAAACGGTATAATTGGTAGATTTCTTTATGATTTGATTTGATTTAGTTTATGGATGGGGAGTGACCAAAGTATTGAATTTTCGATTTTTGTGATGGAAGGGAGTATTTAGGTTTAAGTCAGTGAGGTATGATTTACATCTTTCTGAGAACGACGTATTTTTTGTGATTTTGAGGTGAGATATTGTTTTCAGAAAACAGATGATTTAGAGGGTGCGGATGGGAGGGGGAGAGGGAGTTTTGGACAAAAACTACTTTTACGAATTAATAAAGTGAAAGTGCCTTTCTTCTCAAACTCAAAGGCTCAACTCCTGCTTCCACGTATAGGCTTACTGAAGGACTATAGCGAAAAGCGCATAAGGCTAATAAGATTTGTTTGGTGTTTTCACTGACATAATCATGTTTACTTAAGACGAGGCTCCGTATAGCATAAGTATCCTTTTTTTGTCAGCTCCCCATGAAAGGCAACTGACTGTTCTTAACAAATTAAGTGACTGCAGTCATTCACTTTTTTTGATATATGGTGCCCACGTTAGTTTTTTATCAAATATCATTTCAAAACACTTAATGCTTTCAGCAAATATTATCGGCTCTCCGTTAATTTTAACACGTTAGCTGCGGTTATGGTCCCCGGTGTCCGATATTCGACTACCAAATGGTCTGGGTTGTTACGAATTTTGCCTATCTTATGAAGTCTCTAAAATGGTCATTTTAAAAAATATTCGAATGACAGTTGGATAGATGTAAAGATACAAACGTAAATAATCATCATATCCGATATAAAGCTGCAGGACACCGGGGACCGATACCTTACCAAACTGATAAAAAATTATTTCCATAAGGTATCAATCCGGCGACCGATACATATTCCAACCGTGGCAGGACAGTGCACATGCATAGTGATTGAAATAATGTT